GTCACATCGAGCAACTGACCTCTAAAAAGACACAGTGCTCCCCATTTCCCTTCTGGCTACTTCCCTCTCTCACACATTTTTTATAATTTTCTACTCTTGGATCTTTATCACTGGAGTCTGTTGCCTCACTGATCAAAGACAATCTGACAGGAATGTGTTTCAGCTATTCATGAAAAGGATTTTCATACATTAAACTATTAAGTGAACACATACTTCGAAAGAAAAAAAGAGAGCTATCCTGTCATTATTCAGGGGAAAAGGCCTGTAGTCTTAAATGCAGCCTTTAGTAGTTTATGCGTATGTGCTTTCATTTAAAGAGCATCTATAGAAGAATTATGGGTGTTCTTTGAGGAGCATGAAGTATGTCTCTGTGTGAAAGGGTGGATAATGGAACGAAAGAAAACTCCCATCTTCTTCCAGAACTGCTTTACATCTAAATTTAGAAATTTACAACCAGTACCAAGAAAAATTTCTAACAAGATTTCTTAAAATTATCTACCAGAGGAGGTAACCATTTAACCTTGCTCTCTACACTGGAATATCTGTCTCGTACCACAAGTATTACAGGAATGAAATACAATGGCAATGTCTTTCTCGTGCATATTAGTTTTATGAATTGAACACCTGCTGCCAGATTAATTTCTGGTCTGGAGACGATGAGATGAATGCATGTGCCTACATGAAAAGCATATGGGGAAGCACTTAAAAAAAAAAAACACCACAATTAAATTATTTTCTTCTGTTGACTTGCAAATCCTAGCAAACCAAGTATTTTTTTAGAAATCTGTTAGAGTGGTCTTCTCATTCACCAAGTCTTCCTCTAGACTAACAAACTTTCACAACATCACGCATTTCCTTTGTAATGACAGAATGCTACAATCAAAAAAAGTATCTCTCATGGTATTATAAACCATAAGATGCTACTGTTGACATATAAAACTATCTACAGGCACATCACACAAATTTTCCCGCATTGGTAAGAGTTATAAATTGCTCTTTACTCCTGAGGCAAACTCCACACTGTGAACGAAATTGTATTTTGTCATGAATGTCATTAACTAGAAATAAAGAAATGTTAAGTTTGCTGCTATTCTTTTCCTCTCAAATGCAATTGCTTTCATTTCCAATCAGGAGACGTTCAAAACCAGTGTTGCTTGATATGCTCACCAGTCCCTATGTACATGAAATTTTTTGGCTTAGAGGACCTCTCTTTTTGGAACAACACACTACTGCAGTGGACGTGGAACAATGCTGAAATCTGCCAATGCATTTTTGCAAATTTGAAAAGCTACTTGCTTACAGGATGAATAATTCCGACGAGAACAGAAGTCTACAGAAAGTCAAAACAGTGACACTTCCTCAGAAATATGCTGTAATTCCTGTATTTATTGTCTTCATCAGTTCCTGCAGTATTTTAAAACCAGCAGGTACTAAAAATGAAGTGCCAGTGCTTTAACCGGTGTAGCGAAATGACAGGAATGCAGATGGCAGTACATCCATTTAGGCATTCACTCAGGTTTTCCTCCTCTGAAAGCTTTTCTTACTGAAGCATTGGTCCTTAAGATCCTATGACAGAAGACATTTCTACCTTCTAGAAAAGTTTTCAGGGGAGAAACCTGTGATGAGATATTGATATAGTTGCCTTTTGAGCGCTCTCGCTTTGGGAATCTAAGCACTTATGACAAAAGTCTAGGGAAGGTAATTTACATCAAACTCCATTTCAGACTGATGCAGATGCTGAGGAACTGTAGCGGTGATTGTTTCCACAGAATTCTGCCTAACCTTGGTAAAGTGCATGAGGGTAGTTAGGGTACATACTATCTCTTCTGCCATAAATACTCCTAATTCATATGCTTATAAGCATGCCAGACACTACTTAGTTTTGGTCAGCAGGATACACTGCTTTGATTATATCCAACACTGACCACATACACTAATTCAAAGAAAGTGTCACATATGTACAGGCAATATTCTAGATACATAAACCATGTATGATCTCACAATACATATATACACATAGTCAAATCACTTACATGCAAGGATAAATATATTCTAAACACATTAGAAACACCTGTTAAAATCTGCTGAGCATTGCAATACGGACAAACAAATTCTCATATATATATTATAAAGGTTATTTTTGAAATTACTAATACATTTAGAAACATGCGTTTCATTAATCTTCTAAAGATACTTTTCAACTGGCAGGTGTATTACAACTTAAGAGTTTTTCCTCTTCCATAAACTCAGAGATACACTCTCTGCTTACAATGCTGTTCTGCCTAAGATGTAATTATGTGAATCAACAAAATCGATACATCTGTTCTCCTCAAATTATTTTGAGCTGTAAAAGAGGTTAATCTACCACCTTTTCTAGAATATATGGAAATGCTGTCAAAGAGACTCCTTATTTATTTCTCATAGTAATTATTGTTCTCTGTCTGATAAAGTACCCTCCTATGCCATTTAAGCAAGCAGTTTATTTTGTAAAGACTATCGGAGAACATGAATATTCCAACTCCTGTGAATATAATTCAGAAACCTGTCAAGTTAAATCATGTATCAAAACCAAAGCTATTCTTCTTGCATATTTCATTAAACTAAACCCCTTAAATATTTCATGTTTAAATAGGGGAGGGATAGTTGTGAGGCAAAATAACTCTGTACTGTTGCGTATGGAAGAAGATTCTGTCCTCTCTAGAAGTAACATCCCAATACTCTCATTTGCTTTCTCTTTCATTTCTTCCTCTCTCCTTTTTCTACTCAAATCTGCTTAGAGAACCTTTCAGAAGTTAAAACTCCCTGTATATTTACTGCAAGAATACTCAGTCTCCCCGTTTGCCAACTGCTAGTCAAAATACTTATAAACAAAAGAATACGTTTCCATATTCAATATAGATTTGTCCATTATACTCACTGCTAGTGTCTTAGCATCTTCCAGTAATGCCTTATTTCATATGACTAACACTTACTGTATTACAGCTTGAGAAGTTCAATCATTTAAGGTGTGAGAGGTCGGCTGACTTCAGTCACATTCTAAAAAACCCCATTACCTGAACAAGACAAGACAGCTACCAGAAACAAGTAAAGGTGATTTTTTGTAAACACTTTAAATAGCTCTGACTTAGAACAATACAATCCTACCTCCACACTTACACGCTGGCAAAACTGAGATCAATGAGTAACCCATCCTTTGCTGTTTGCTAGGATCTCAAGCATTTAAACCCCAAATGAGTAAGAAAGCTGAAAAATCAGAACAGGTCTCCTTAGCAGGCCGGGAGAAAAACATATTCCTGTGACTACTGATCTTGGCTAATACAGCAAGTTCTTAAAAATAAAATTATTTCGTATTTCCCAGCATTCCATTTTAATTTGTTCACTGAACTCAGTTTGCACAATAAAACCAAAAATATCAGCTTCTTTTTCTCCATCTTCAACATTAGCAAAATGTCAATGGGTTTGGATTTCTTATATTGTAGGAGAAAGATTATGGTTTAGGGTTTTAATCATTTTTGGTTTTATAGTTTTGGTGCAGTTCTCTGAACATCACAAAAATATAACATAACACTAATAAGTTTTGAAAACCTTCTTTCTTTCTAATACTAAAGTCTAAACATTGGATCTATCTTAATAAATCATGCTCCTCTTGATAATTCAGGACAGAGGAGTCCATGAATCTCAGAGGAGAGAAATAAACTTTGATCACAGCAGAGTGATAGCTTTAAATGATGCAGATACAGGCAGCCACTGTATTTGCTTACAGTGGGTTTGACATTAATTGAAGAAGAATAAATCCTCACAACTTTACACACCGCGAAGTCATGTCTAGATCAGATGATTATGCAACCAATTCCCTTTACTAGATTTTAAACTACTCTTGACTCCCTTTGCACAGCTGAAAATGAGTATATGAAACAGCACAAGGGGTTAAGTAATCATAATGAGCAAGCAATATGTCAGACCGATTGACTACCAATCTAACAAATAACCAGCTACACGGACCATGTTACCAGATGTAGGTCAAATTCCCACCTAATACTCATCTTTTACTCCACTGAAGAACAAAGTTGACACACATTACTGAAGTACTTCCCACGAGTGGACTTGGCTAAAGTGAGTTTTTTCACAATGCACATTGCATTGGAGGTAAACTTCAGTATTTATTGTTGTCATTCCCCAAAAAACAAAGAGCTTTTAATGACTTTGAGTACAAATGACTTCATACTATCCTCTTAAGACAGGTAGTACTGTCTTAAAAAAATGGATGTGCTTTTGATCTCCATACAAAAGGACACTACATTTGTATTTATTTTTGGTATGAAAATGTAACTCAATGTTCACAGTAGTCCTGCATCTGTCTTCAGGTAACAAAACAGAAATACGTTGAATTACACAAGTTTTGGCATCAAACCCAACTGAAGTCAACTTAAGCTGAAGATAAATGGTACTTGTAAAAATAACAAAAATTCTATTTTAGATGCCTAAATATGGATCTAATAATTTTAATTTGGGCACTCCCCACTCCCCCATGATAGATTAGAATTGAGTGGACAATAAAATGTTCCAGCAGCTTACATACATTCATCAACTAAGAAATAAGAAGGAAATAGTATTAACAGTTTTTTATTACTTCGTAATTTTAAGATTTCAACAGGTATTTCTTTAAACGTACAAACCATCAAAAACTACCAAGATGAATGCCTACAGAAAATAATATTTTATTGATTAAAAGAGGGACTTAAAATGCCTGGAAAGGACAAGGTTTCAATTTTATATTTAATTTTTAGTTTAAGATGTATCTCCATATAAGTAATCAATTCATATAATCAACGCCAATAATCATTCTCGTTTTCTATATTCAAAATTTATCAGACAGGATAGTAAAGAAAGCCTATATACTCCGTGCACTTCAACGCAAGAAATAACATCGCTTTTTATTGTAACAGTTCTGTAATTCTCCAAGCAAAGCCATTCTGTGTTGAAAGGCAGTAATACTGTACCTTGATTTCTTCTATTTCGTCTGGCACTATCTTGTATGCAGATATAGTCCCACCCAACCTGAAATCAGGAGAAGAAAAATATGCTCTGAAATCAGAAGAAAAATAGTCACAAAATCACTAACACAAAGCACAGCATGTTAATGGTGTCATGACTTGCTCCAAAACACAAATATCCCTCCTATCAATTTATAGGTAAAATCCACCAAGCCTCAAAACAACAGCAAAACCACCCCTTTCCTTTCTTTATCCAAAGGACAATCCTCATGCGGTTAACATAAACATTAGAAATGTGCTGTCCTTCACTAGTCTGAAAGATAAGAATTAGGTCAACTAAGCAGAATTACCATCACCAGGATGTTATTATTTACATTAATTGCCATCAGTTATCATATTCTATGATTTCTTGTTTGTTGTGAAAGTCATACAGATGAGTTTAAATATTTGAAGCCTGATGTGCTTTGTGCTCAGTATTTCACTAAGCTGCTATACAGTCTTAAATGCAGCCAAATGCAATTCTAGAAATTGAAATTTATTAATTAGACATGCACGTATACACTTCACAAACCACACAGACTCTATGGCTTCCACGTTTGAAAAGTCTCAAGTTCATGACTGGTAATAATGAAAAGTGGGTGATGTGCAATAGTTGGCACTGATACAGAAAAAATAGGGGGTTTTGTTCCACATTGAACTTACTGAACTTATTTGTCTATATCCTGCAAAAGTTTACAGTAAAGAATAGTTCACATACTGAAGATGCATGAATAGCATGTACTATAAATGGTGGTAAATATTACATTTTCCCCAGAGACATGCAGATATGGCTTCTTTTATTTCATGAAGCAGTATCATTGACAGTGACAATTCAGACCTAAAAATACAACCGCACTAATGACCTCCCTGCTGGCTCTGCACAGCAACACTAGTCATTTTCTGGGTCCTACAGAAATGGAAATCATGTAAGAAACTATTTATTGTAAAGCAGTAGACAGCTATCAAATGTGTATTTGTATTATCTCCCTATTATTGGATATTTTCCTTCCAATTGTCAGCATTTCTATACAGACGTATTTTCTTGTATTCAATCCTGAAATTAGTATACATACTGTTTATTCAACCTAAAAAGGGAAGAAGAGAGTAACACAGAAAATACATTAAGATTTTCCCCATAAGTCCTGCCTTTCCACATCTCCACAACTAAGTCACTCAGAAATGAATGGTTTGAAGGCTTTAGACAGAAGATGAAGTCTGCATAGGAAAAGTCAAGCCTGAAGTCCATCGCTGCTCCAAGTAACATCAAGTATGACTTCTGAGGTAGAGATGGGCTCCAGACATTACAGCATTCAAATTCTTCATGAACAATTAGAACGTAGCAATTGCTCTCTCCTATTTCCTCTGCAATTTCCATTGCTGCTAATCATCAAGGGAGTTGAAAGTTGGAGAGAACTGAGACTTTTTTTTTTGCCAGTGCAAGTGTAAACATGAGCTTTAATTCTTCACTGTATCTGATCTTTGTTCAAATGGTGTTTCCAGGGATACCTATAAGAAATTGGTTTTAACATCATGACGAAGGTTTGCTTCATCATACCAGATGGCTCAGATCAGCGTGTTATTGTTGCACATGACCAGTCAGTCCTATTGCTACTGGAATGAGGTCTGTAAGAAAATAGTTTTTATTTAGTTCATTCAGATCCATTCCTGTCTGTACTCTGGAGAACCCAAAAAATAAGTTCACTGACTTTCTATCCTCTAGCAGAAGGTAGGACAGAGCCTCTGCTGTCAGCACTCCAACAGCAAGGAATTCCACCTGGAAGATTTCTTTACGGGCCACCCTCAGCACAACTATTAAGCACTTTCTTGGAATACATCAGAAAAAAAATATGCATAAGTCAAAATAATTGACTCGGTAAACCCATCTGGCTTGCTTAAACCATTAAGTAGCATCATTCTCTGCAAATACTTTTGCAAAGTTTTGCGTCAAGAGTTTAACATGCTCTAAATCTCCCAAGTTGCAGTCCAAACGGTAGCGCATTTTAAAGTAGTTAGGCATTCCTGAATTGGACATTTTCCTTTACAAAATCACATATGCAACGTCATTGAAAGTGTCAGTTACCAGTCCCACATTTTTGAAAGAGAAAGAGACATTAAAAGTGATGCTACTGTTTAAATAAGCAACCTTTCACCTATAGCTCCAGCTCACCATATCTGTCTTACATTTTCAATTCTACGCTGACATCTTTAGCTTGAAATAGTACAATATTGGATATTGAATACTACAACATTGAATTCTACAATATTGAAATACTAGAGACTACATAAATAAATAGCAAATTTGAAACTGAAAGAGAACCAGAGACACATAAATATACAATTCTATACATGCCTTGGAGCTGAAACAAAGCTTTTAAGTAAGTCTGTACTTTCTTCATTTCAGAACATTAGATTTCACTCCATCTTAAAACTCCTGGAAGAGAGATCCACAACAATAGATTGCCAGTTAAATCCAGTACTACAGAGGACATAATAAAGATATTTAACTTTGTGTATAAAGTTTGGTTGTGAGTTTTACAGAAGTTTAAAGGCATCTCATATGCTGGGAGGATCCAGTTAACACAGTCTGAACTCTCCCACTGGTCCTCAGTATGATGAGAGGAGCAGAATTTTTGTTTTTACTATATAATAATGTATCTATGAGGAAAAAAAGGATTTAAGCTGCCTATATTTGGAAGCCTGTGAGTAGTGCATAGTAACACACAGATAAAATTTTAGAACAGTCTGCTTTTTTTTCCCCCTGACAAAATGTCTTGATTACTTTCAATTTCATGCACAAATTATTATGCCAGACAATTCACTCGCCAAACAAACTTAAGAGGCAGAACCAGTTGTGAAACACACTGCATACTCTTCACTCAAAAATCATAAATCCCAGTTCATTCCAACTTCATGGTAAACACTCTGAAAAGAAATCCAAAAGCACTTATTTTGGTGTTACCAAATCTCTATTACACATCTCCCACAGTCAGGTAAGTCCACAGTGTAAGGGACTACACAATGTCACACACACAAACATTACTGAGAAAAACAAAACCAAAAACATTGTGATGAAAGAACAGTAAAATCAAGGCAAACTGAAAAATCAATGCATTAATCGTTATGTCCAACTTAAGGAAAACTTTGTATTTCGAGCATTTCTGTGAATTACATTTAAGTGTCACTATGAATTGTGACCTGTCTGGAAGTTTGATTGTTATTTTGCAAATCCCTGACTCAAATCACTGACACCTGAAAGAAGAGAGACCAGACAATTACACACAAGAGATTTCAGCTACAGGACGATACACAGTCTGTGACAGAGGACTTGCACATGGCATAAGTTTTTTCATTTTCTTGGGAGCAAGCTCTCTCTGCAGGTTGGTTTTATTAGAACATTTTACATTAACTTTTTTCATCAGTGTTTCAAGAGGCAATTACAGCGTGATCAGAAAAGCAAAGGAGCTGCTAGCATGAGTACACATGAACTATCGTGGGCTTTGTATGCTAGAATATAAAGCAGCAAAGTACATGTTAGAAAGGCCAGAATTCAGTTCACCAGGACTCTTTTTTTTGCAGATTCACTCTTCATCTCTCACGCATTTTAGTTTTATTATAGATTTTACTATTTTTTTCTCCAGTTGAACAACACAACATCCAGCATCATACAAGATAAATGGCTTTTTCTCTCAGAACAAATACACAACCAACCAAGAGCAAAGCTAAATATACAGACAGCTACTTCCAGTAAGCTGAAAAGACAGTCACAAACTTCATCTATAGAGACCTACTGCACAAAGTATTTCGCTTTCAAACTGCAGTATTTTCACACTATAGGAAGCTGTATTATTTACTAGTGAAATTATTTTAAATACTAGTTAACTTTAATTTTTCACATGTATACATGTAGAAGATTACCTCTGAAAGGTCCCACAATTTATATTCAAATTTTGATAAACATCAGTCTCATCAGGTCTGTATCATACCCTGCATGTAATACAGACACCCCAGTTCTCTAATCCTTTTGCAGAATACACGTGAAAATATTCCTAAAAAATTAGAGCTGACTCAATAAAAACAAAGAACCACACCTTATATTGGGTTAAACTGGCAATGGTCTTTGAGGAATGAATCGGAAAAGATAGGACAGAAATTCCATAAAAATAATTAGGAAATAATAAATCTCATGTAACTATTTGCACAGGAGTTTGTGAAAGAAGGGAAACTTTGTGTCCTTTTTTAGGGAAACTATTTTAGGAAAAAAGTGCACCTCAGGTTGACATATAGTTGATGTATAGTGCATAGACCGGGTTTGCAGGAAGTTCACAGGAGAAGATTCGCAGGAAGATTCAGGAGAATGCTGAAAGCAAGGTTTCTATAGCAACCTAAGAAATTAGCAAAATATAGGAAATAAACTGAAGTAAGGCCAATGCAGTTGTATTGGAACAGATGGAAGCTTTACTATTCCACAAATCAAGCAGAATATCACTGAAGAGGGAAAACTTGAACTTCATCCAAGATAACGAAAGTTAAAAACCAGGAGGAACTGTGTTCAAATGGAGGCAAGTGACAATGAACCATAGCCCAAATGGGAAGAGAACTCAAGAAGACAAAACTTGTCTTCTTAACAATACTTGACTCTCTTAACAATAAACTATCCATTATTTTAATGTTATCCTTTTATGACCTCTTTGTTCTATGTTTCAGTATTTAAAACAGAAACCGAATTTTTCATTTTAAAAACATTTATTCTGGATATAAGTTTAAAATTATCACCATGTTATTCTCCATATAGTTGCAAGTTGGCCTTCTGAATAGTTTTCCCTATGACCCTGTACATACGCATGTGCCGATGGACTCACTGGATTATTATTGCATAGCTACATCATGTGCAAGACACTTGTGCACTTGGATGGAATCAATACTGGCCAGCTTTTATCATTTGAATTCTGACCAAAGATACGAATGCAGTCTTTATATATGGTTCCACATTCAGTAACTGCCATAAGAAGCAGAGCTATTGATTCA